AATGTATATACTGAAAATGACAAAACACTGATGAAAGAAATCCAAGAAGACCTAAATAAATGGACATACTGTGTTCATGAATAGAACAATCATTATAGTAATGATGTCAATTCTCCCTCAAAGAGATCTATAGATTAACACAATATCAACCAAAATCCCAGCAGAAATTTGTATGGATATAGACAAGCTAATATTCAAATTTACATGTAAAGACACAAGCACTAGAATAGTTCATTACATTTTGACAGAGAAAAACAAAGTTAGAGGAATCACACTACTTAATTTTAAAAGTTACTATAAAGCTGAAGTAATAAAGTCAGAGTAGTGTTTATAAAGGGACAGATACAAAAATCAATGGAAACTAAAAAATAGGACAGATATGCACCTACATGAATATGGCCATTTGATATTTTTACAAAGATACACAGGCAATTCAGTGGAGAAAGGGTTGTCTTTTGAACAAATATTGCTAGAACCTTTGAAAATGAACCTTAACCTAAATTTCACACTTTATATAAAGACCAACTCAAAATAAATAATATATGTAAATGTAAAAACTAAAACGTTAAACTTTTAGGGAAAGAAACCTTAAAACTGACACCAAAGCACAACGCATGCAAGGAAAATAAAATGACAAATTCGACTTCATCAAATTTGAAAACTTTTTTTCTGCCCCAGGCACTGTAAAGTGAATGAAAAGACCCAGTAATGATGTACAGAAAACATTTTCAAATCACTATCTGATAAAGGATTACTATCCAGAAAATGTATTTTTTTTAAACTCTGAAAACTCAATAGTAAGGAAACAACCGCATTAAAAGATGGGCAAAGAACTTAAATGGATGCTTCATCAAAGAAGTTATGGCAAATAAGGACACAAACAGATGTTAATTATTAGTTATTAAACAAATTATTAACTGTCATACAATGAGATATCACTATACAACTATCTGATCAGCTGAAATAAAGAATAATGACAATACCAAATGCTGTCAATGATAAAATTTTTACAGGGTTCAGGTTAAGACGGCCTGAACTCCTTTCTAAACTTTTCCATCTCATGTTTCACCCACTGACGATCCTTGCCTGGATCTGTTACATCATTGGAGATTGTAAAATAGTGATTTTCTACATTTATTTCTGGATTTTTTTTCAACATTTACTAACCGTATTTCTTGCAAAAAGAACTTTCTCTTATCAAACTAGGGCTTTCTGGTTGTTCTGAAAGTTTGTACAGAAAAAGCAGAATAAAATACTGATTTTTTTTTCTTTTGACTGCTAATTGTCAGAATAAGGAATCGATGTTCTATTTACCTTAAATGGTATTCAATGAGGTTTCATTCTTTGGGAGTAGGGAGATCCCTGTCTATCGGTATCATTAATCAACTCATGAATTTTTATATAGTCAATGTGTTTTCATCAAAGTTACTATTATTGTTTGACGCTCCTGTGTATTTTTTTTTTTTTTTTTTTTGGATTTTTTAGTAGAGACGGGGTTTCACTGTATTAGCCAGGGTGGTCTCGATCTCCTAACCTTGTGATCCTCCCACCTCAGCCTCCCAAAGTGCTGGGATTACAGGCATGAGCCACTGCGCCCGGCCTCCTGTGTACTTTTGACATTAGACTTTGATGGTACCCCTGCTCTCTGACACAATATGTCACAATCTCATCTCGTTGTTTTTTTTTTTTTATCTCAAACTTGGAATTTGCTATTCCCCCCAAGGAGTCCTGGTACCTTTTACGTGGCATAGTATTTACAGACTTTTTGTATGTCATTTTGTATTTTTTATTAGACTATTTGAAAGGAAAAATTGTGCTCTCAATGTTCATTTAAATTATGGTAGTTTTATTATAATGTTACTTAAATATGAACAACAGTAGAGCAATATATATATGAATGCTTTGATTGGGTACACATGGACACAAACATGGAAACCGACACTGAGGACTACTGGAGAGGGGAGAGAAGGAGGGCGGGCAAGTGCTAAAAAACTACCTGTTGGGTACTATGTTCACTACCTGAGTGATGGGATCATTCATACACCAAACTTCAGCATCACGCAATATACCCATGTAACAAGTCTCCACATGTAACCCCTGAATGTAAAATAAAAGTTGAAATTTTAAAATAAAATAGAAAAAAATGAATGCTTTGAGCTTATGATGCTTATATAATTATAAAACCACACAATAAACAACAAAATCAATAATTTAACAGCATTAATTTCATGTTATGAATCATATTGCTTTGCTGAAATTAAGTTGCAGTTCACAACATGAATATGACTCTGCATTGGCATATTGAATGTGGTTTGCCTTATTGTACACTATGGGCTGACTCACTTCCCCCACCACTCTATTCTAACTACCAAGAAATTGTATTATGTATAGTGAACCTGATAGAACCAGATAATTTAAAAACAAAGTATGATGCCTTCACTTCAAATCGCCTCAAAACAATTAAAATATTACTATCTGGTGTTAATGTGCTGTAAATACAAATACAAATGTGAGTGTTGATAATGTACGACAGTATTTAGTTATAAGGAGGTTTTCTAGATAACCCAGAATATGTTCATGTTAATTTTCTTTAGATTATCTCCTTGGGAGTTGCCCAGGTTACAGTGAAAGCAGGGTATGAGTTTTCCTAGATGAGGTTAAGATTGAAGATAATATAGTTGACAACAAATTGTGAGTCCAGAGGCAGAAGGGACAGCAATTTTTAAATGTACCATAGCAAAACACTATTAGTTGGCCAGGATTACCAAGGCTAGTAGAGGGAGGGAAGTGAGCCACCTACATAACAAAGAAGCTATAAATTACAAAGTTTATAGCACCTAATTAATATTATTGGTCTTGAGACTAACATGAAACTTCAAAAATGCTAATGCATGCATATAAAAACAATACTATTTTCCAAAATAGCATAAACAGCCAGATCTAACAGTTTTTTTTCCCCATATATTAGTCAGTTTCTTCCTTTAAATAAGTATTGGCCAAATATCTAAAGGACATATGTTGGATGGTCTCCCCATTGTTCCCCAGCTGGGATTCCCATAATTCTCTTTCTGTACTCGTCTGGTGTTATCCTTGACTTTTAGTGGAAATTGATAGTAATGTTTAAGCAGGGGAGTAAGATAATCAGTTTTGTTTGTTTTGTTTGCAAGTGAATTCAGTGATGATGCAGACTCTACACTGTAAAGATATCAAGTGGATCAGAGAAATAAGTCAGAAGACTATTACTACTGTCCCATTGGTGAGGGCCTCAACTGAAGTGAAAATGGAATGGGGAGAATCAATGTGATATATTTTTCTGATTTTGTCACTTTTGATTTGGGAATTTGGCGAGTAAATGGACACAGAGGAACTAGTTCGCAAGGTGTTGCAATAATCCAGTTAAGAAGGCATGTGAACCTGAACAAGGTAATGATGTTAGGTAAAAAGGGGATTAATTCCATGGATATTAAGGTGGAAGAATTCTCAGGATATTTTCATTGACTAGATGTTTGGAGAAAGAGGGAAGAGCAAGGATGGCCTTCAGGTTTTAAAAATTATCTCCCACAGTGCACCATTCACAAAGGTGATTGATATAAAAACCTCACATCTTTCTCAGCTTTCTTCTTTGAGTGTCCTGTTGAAATTACCACTGAGACAAGACTACAAGTAGTATTTGCCAGGCTATCCAATATAGAAAAATGTCATGTATGAGGACATACTCATAAAAATATCTTTCTTCTTCTAGAATGGAAAATAAAAGCTTAAGTAAATGAAACCTATAGAGGGGGGCAAACTATGGCCCACAAGTCAAATCTGGACTGCTGCCTGTTATTCTATGGCCTATGACTCAGAGTGATTTTTACATTTTTAATAGTTGAAAAAAATCAAAGAATAATTTTTCACTATGCATTAAGATGAAATAAAATTCAAATGTCAGTATTCATAAATAAAGTTCTACTGGAACACAGCCATGCTCACTTATCTCTCCCTGGAACTCAAGAGTAAGGAAAACAAATATTTTACCATCATTACACATGCACATACACACACACACACACACACCCCAAATGCGTGCTCACGAGCGTGCTCCTTCTCTTTGCCCACTGTGTATGGGTTCTGCAGAAATTGCATTTCTTGCAGAGAAACTTTGAACCTCACACTGGAAGGTAATTTACCAACCTCTTATCTATCTATCTATCTATCACACTTCACGTTTTAGTAATAACTGAATTTCACCCTTTTCAAGCTTGGAAATTATATCTCCTCATTCTGCTGAACGTGTCTATGGCCACTTTGGGGCTACAATGGCAGAGCAGAGTAGTTGTGACAGAGATGCTATAGCCCTCAAAAAATATTTTGCTTACTACTATTTATTTACAAAAATAAAATATTTACTATCTGGCCCTTTATAGAGAAAGTCTGCCGACTCCTGGTCTACTATGAGCCAGGTACTGTGCTAGGACTTTCACATCTTCTATAATTTTATCAAAACTTTTAGTGGTATATCAGGTTATAGAGACCTGAAGAATGTATCTAGAATCTAGAATAATAATGTTTTATTTGTAAATATTCAAATGATTTGCAAAGACAAAGAGTTACTTTCTTTAAGATCCTATCCTTTCCCTGCTTAAACACTGCTATTGATTCCAAATGCTTATAGAATTAAAGCTAAAATCGCCAAACCTAAGACCCTTTGCTTACAAAATCTAGTCCCCACCTACCTTTCATCATATCTCATCACTCTTTTCCCCACCCCTCACCCAATGAATTTCTCACTGTCCTCCCACTTTTTGCAGACAGAAGCTGAAAGTGACACATTCATGAGATATTTAGTGTCCACTTCATTGAGGTCCCTTGTTCACCTTTTCCTTTCTATACCTTTCTTCATTCTCCTTTACTTTCTTCATCGAATTGTCTACCATTACAAAATAGAAAAGAAATGAAGGGAGGGAGGAAGGGAAACTGCAATACACACACACAGGTTTTATTGGGGAGAGGCATACCTCTTATCACTCTGGCCAGCTTAATTTGTCAAATCCTCGAGGGTAGGGCCGATACTTTTTTTTTTTTTTTTTTTTTAAGTCGTCCAACATCTATTAGAGGTCCAGTCATCGATTCTCCCACTCCCGTTCTTCGTTTCCCTTGGGAAACCTGGAAAACGGAAAATCTTCCCACAGAAACTCCTCAGGGCGCGCCAAGATCTGGGCTTGCGCACTTGGACTTGGCCCGCGCTCAGCCCCCGCCTCAAGCCGGCGGGGTCTCGCACTAACCTAGCGCGGGCGCCTCGATCTCCCGCGCGCGCGCGTGCGCGAGACCCCCCTTTGGCCCCCTACCCTGCAGCAAGGGTAGCGTGACGTAATGCAACCTCAGCATGTCAGCAGCAATATAAAGGAGAACTAGGCGGCGCGCCTCCCAGACGCAGAGTAGATTGTGATTGGCTCTGGCTGCGGAACCTCGGAAACCCGAATGTGAGGACCTTAAGGGATCCACAGCTGCCGCCCCCCGCAGCCATCCAGAGCGCGGTCACAGTCCGACTGGCGGCACGGAGGCGGCGGCAGCGGCGGCGGCAGCGGCAGCTGCAGCTGCAGCAGCAGGTAAGGAGACTCCTGAGGAGAAACTAGAGGGACGTGGATCCACCGTGTTCAGTGTCTCTTGTCTGAAGGGAGGAGAGGCTCACACCCAGCGTGTAGCGTAGGGCGAAGGGAACAATGGAAGTGGCGTCCAGTCCCTGAGCTTTCCTCCCGCCTCGGGCGGAGTTTTCCTCTTCAGCCGTTGCCGTGGGCTGGAGGAATTGAGGAAAGTAAGGGTTTTCCCTCTTAGCCAACCTCTTCTTTCCCTAGGCCAGAGCCCCAGGGAGCTAGAGCCGTCGTTGAGACCGTCGGTGGTTTAGGGTGACGGGAAAATGGCGGAAAACAAAACGGTGAAGTGAAGAATGCAGCGTCCCCCTGGCATTTTCTCTCAGCTATCCCTCCACCCGATATTCCTTTCACTGGCGCCCCCGGTCGCCTCGCCCCCGCCCCCTGACCGAGCTAATAGTAACCTTTGGAATGCGCGAGGGATGGCGGCGTGTGCGAGGAAGTGGCACCGAATCGGCATTTTAGGGGACTGGGAGCCGTCAGAGCCTGGGAGTTGGGGGGAGGGGGGAGGCGTGTGCGACAACTGTCGCCTACACTAAAACACCACCATTTTGGTTCCCAACCGTCTCCCACGTAGCGGGGCAGAGGAAGCTGGAGGAGGCTGAGGGGCTGGGCAGCACGGCGTGGGTAGCAGCGGTGGCGACCGCTGCACCAAGTGAGAGGAGGGAGGAGGGGAAAGGGTATTCTTGTCTCATCGGTCTCTTCCTTTCTACTGCGAAGGTTCTCTTAGGTTTAAGATCTAGTCAGATGGGTAATACCTCAGAGGGCACGTGTGTGCCTTCTGCTCGAAATGATTGAAACTTGGCATGGTCGTGGGAAAAGGAGACTTATGCGGGAAGAGGGCTGCGTCCAAAGCTGCAATACTGCTACTTGCCAGGGCTCCTTTGTCTCCCATCTCTGCAAACACTACTTTCGCATTCTCTTGTTCTGCCGCCTTACCATTTCTCATCTATCCGTCACCCTATTGACATCACTGAGAAGCTAGGTCCTGAATGAGTTATGTTAGAAGGGACAGATTTTCTTTTTGTGATTTCTGCTCCCCATGCATTAATGGAAAGATGTTTACTTGAAACGTACTTGGTGGGTTATCTCCATTCAGTAAGGATGTGAGATACACTCTGGAGAAGACCAAGAAGCCTAGCTATCTCCAATGGTTATTAAATACTTAACACACTGCTGTTTTCATACCTCATTTATTATTGATTTTATTGAAACTTCCTATGTGGGGAAAGATACTCCAGTTTATTTATTTGGTATTCACACAGTGTAATACTTTTATAATAGTTGCACTATGTGTTGTAATTTTTACACTTCATTGAGTGCTAGTGCAGACTTTTCAGTATGGATTTGGCAAGGATAAAGCTTGCCCTTGGTTCTCTTTCACTTTCTAAAATAAGGTGTTGTTTGTGATTTTTAAGATGTGCTTTAGAGAAGATTTTGGTTTAATCAAGTGGTAGCATTCTAAGTATAAAAACATTGCTAATGTAGTCAGTAGTTGTTTTTGTTGGAATCCATTTGGTTGCTTTTAAGATTACTACAGATTTGAGCATATGAACCCTTCCCAGCCTCGCCATGCAAGTTCAGGTGTAAAGAAAAATATTAAGTTGTGTAAGAAACTTAGTTTAAAATGTTTTAAAGTATCTGATTTTGAATGTATTTTTATAATAGGTAAAGAGAGCGTTTTCCCAAAGAAAATAACATAGCACAGAAGGAAAAATAAAAAGAAATGACTGCAGATTTTACTTTATGTAAGAAAATCTACAATTTCTTCGAGACACTCATATAAAGGTGATTAACCAATTACTTACTGTTTTATCTTATTTAACAGTTTAATAAAATTAAGTTTTTAAAAACATTTTAAGACATTTGTAGTTGTTCTATTAGTTATGTGGTAAAGAAAGTAATTACTCTAATTAAAATCCGAATAGTACACAGTTTTAAATGTTAAGAACAAATCCCTTTCAGATTTATTTTGTTAACACACAGGTAGTTTATTGTGAACTGTCTTGGCCTCTGGACCTCATTTTGCATAACAGCAAAGCAGAAAACAATGTGGCATTTGAAAAAACATAAAACACAACTAAGAATTTCTAAAAATGTGAAGTTTTGCTCGTACATAAAGTAATTCTGTCTGAATCGTTTGATATATAGAAATGTCACCTTCTGTAGCATATTTATGTATACACCTGAAATATTGATAGGGGTTACTCTGTGAGACTCTCCTGCCCCTTGAATACCAATTTAGCCATCCCATTTATTTAAGAATATATTAAGTTGTATTACATGGCACCTTTCTAAAACTTTCATTAAGGATGCAGCTTTATCTGTTGTCCAATACGGTACAATTTATTAAGCACTCCTACGTGAAAAGGAGATAGATGCCTTATAAAACGGACAGGTTTTTGCTGATTTACTTAGAATCTTATGTTTGAAGAGAAAATGCACATATATATTTCTAAGAAATATATTGAGTGACAGCATCTGACTTTATGTTCCATACTATCAAATAATCTTAAATATAGGATAAGTCATTTGAAATGAAATAGATTAAGCCCTTGTTTTCAAAACCACCATGAAGCTAGCATAATTTTATTAATCACTAATAAAAAATCAGTTGTACAATTACAAGTAAATGATATGATAAGTAATTTGCTAAATGTTTATATGTGATTGATCTTATTTTTACCATATTTAGGAAGCAGTCATGTTTCATGAGTCCTCAAAACTGAGACAAGAGAATGTAGTAGAGTGAGGCCAGAAGTCCTTACTGGTTCAAAGAACTCCGGGGAAACTGGGATAGAACATTTTACATTATAAGTAGAACCCTGGGAGCCAGAGGTGAATACAAGTTTATCTGCAGAGCTCCGCTGCAGGGCTGATCTGGGTCTGGAAGAAATGGATGAGAGCCAGTGGATGAAATTCACTAATACTAGACATCTGAGTCCTCTAGTAATGTATAAATATCCTAACTATTGTTTGTTGTCATCTCGTTCTTCTTTTATAACCTATGTTTTAACTGGAACTTTAGCACTGCAGTTTTGTTGTTTTGCTTTCTTCTACCACTTCCCTATGGCTCATCAGCTTGACTGTGCCTTCGTCTCCATTATTTTTTGGTTTACTTCCACTTGGCACTTCTTTTATTTATAGTTGTCACATAAAGCATCTAACCATGGTTTTTCTTTGTTTTGCTTTCTTTTGTAATGAGCTTTCCACACTTGGTTGAAAGGCATATTGTCAATTGCATTTTTTTTTTCTCAAAACAACTAACTTTGGGCTAAACATATTAAAACTATTTTAAAAGCCATTTCTTTTGCAGATATTGGTGAATGAACTTTGCTAAGTATGGATTCAGGTGGTGGAAGTCTTGGATTGCACACGCCAGACTCTAGAATGGCCCATACCATGATTATGCAAGATTTTGGTAAAGCATTTTCTTTGTTATATTTTTTTTCTTTTTTAAAAGTAAGGGGATAATAAAAATCAAAAATAAGTTGAGGAAGGGGAGAATTACAATGAAAACTTGTTCTTTTACTAGGAAAATACATTTGTAGAGCTTATTCTCATAAAGCTGTGTATCAATGGGCTACTTAAAATCACTCATAATTTAGGGGAAGGTTGTGTTAGGGACACTTGAAATATAGTGGTAATATGTTACTGGAAATGAAAAACTCAATTTACATAAATAACTGCATGATTATATCACATTCTGTTCTGATAGTATATATCAGCTCTCACGTGAAGGAAATGTTAAACTGGCTTTCTAAAATACATTTTAAGTTGCATTGTTAATAAAGTTGGAAAAAAAAGTGCTTACATCAACTAAAAAAATAAGATGCTTATATAGGGATATGCAAAATCATGTACTAGGTGATTAATTATATTGTGATGCTATTTCCCCAAAAAGTTACCATTAGAATACATTTTTATTTCTTTTTTTTTTTTTTTTTTAAAAAAAAAAAAAAAAAGAGGCCGGGCTTGGTGGCTCACGCCTGTAATCCCAGCACTTTGGGAGGCCGAGGCGGGCGGATCACGAGGTCAAGAGATCGAGATCATTCTGGCCAGCATGGTGAAACCCCGTCTCTACTAAAAGTACAAATAATTAGCCGAGCGTGGTGGAGCGCGCCTGTAGTCCCAGCTACTCAGGAGGCTGAGGCAGGAGGATTGTTTGAGCCCGGGAGGCGGAGGTTGCAGTGAGCTGAGCTGAGATGGTGCCACTGCACTTCAGCCTGGTGACAGAATGAGACTGTCTCAAAAAAAAAAAGAAAAAGAAAAGACTCCTTACTCTTGTGGCCAGGTTTGTTTGTAAGTAGCCTCTTAACAGTAGTCATTTTGATGAAGATGCCAAGACCCCATTGACATTCAACAAACAAACTGAATTTGGGCAGGGATAGTCTGAATTACAGAGGAGATAGAGCTATTTGAAGTATAAAAGGCAGGGATGAGATCAGAAGAGTTGAAGATAAGATTGGAGTGAAAGCAGAAAAGACAAATGGTGAACTGTGATAAAAGAACAGGAAACGAGGTAATACGGAATTGT